ATACATATATATATATCGCCAACTTGTGTGAGATTCAGTGTTTTTTAATGTTTTTTTTTATTGTCTTTGCTTTATTATTATGGTTTTTCTTCGATGTTATCTGAAATGTTATTTTCTTCCCCTTTCCATGATTTTGTTTGAAGCATGCTTTAGATTGACGAATTTAAATGATGGTTGCGGATTCAAAGACATCACGCTCAACCATTTGTTGGCGTTGCGGAACGGAATTCAACAATCGGACCGCTAAAAATGGGGTTTGCTGCAAGTTATGCAAGCGGAGTTTTCACCGGAAGTGCTACCTGGCTGAAACTGGGATTAAGAAGAATGAAACAAGGGCTTGTGTTTGCTGTCTCAGTGGAATTTTGAGGATGCCCTATTCTTCGCGTATTCAACAAAATCCAATGGCCACAAAGTTTCTTCGTAATGGCTATTGCGTGATTTCACTGGCTACTTGTGCTAGTGAGAAGAAGAATATCTTAGAAACACTGGAAAAATATCGGGATAATGCGGATCGCTATTTCAAAGCTTTTATGCGTGCTTATGAGGCAAAATTAGAGTTTTCTACCAAGGCACCTACTCTTGAAAGTGGTTTTTCCAATTTCAGAGAGAGGGGCTCTGGTAGGTTTGAAATGATTTCAAGCGAAATTGAAAACGAGGTACTCAGTGTATTGGAAAATTGTGATGAGATTCATAATACGCTAGAACTGCTTCTGACTTCAGCAAACAGTAGGGTACGGGTGAAGGAGAGATTGATGTCAACTGGATGTTTTTATTCCCTTCCTGGGAGTTCGAAGCAGCGGATTCATACAGACGGGCCACCTTTGAGCTCGGTATTGGATTTGTTTCCTTACGCTATAAATGTTTTTATTCCTCTTGTTCCTGTGGACAAAAGAAATGGGACAGAATTCTTACCTGGATCACATCACAAAGAGTGGAGTTCTAGATCATTACACAGAAAAAAGCGGTATCGCCAATTGTTCCTTTGGGAAAGGCATTGTTGTTTGATTACAGGGTGTTACATCGTGGTTTGGGCAATCAACTGGGTTCACCTCGTCCGTGCTATTATGCAACATTCGCCCGTTCTTGGTATGAGGATAAGTTTAACTTTAGTTATAGTCGATACAAAACATCTTTGAGTGTGCCCTCATATCTCTTGACGCGAAGAGGCGACGAATGTGTGCATAAGCGACAGCGAACTAGCTAATTGGATTTTACATCAAGCTCTGTTGTTAGGAATTGTAACATTTGTTTTTTTCTCTTTCTGTTGTTGCTTGTGTGCATGTGTATCGGCCTTTGTTTTTTGTTTTCCATTTATGTTTTTTTCACTTGATAATTTCTTTGTGATTTCTTTTTATTGATTGTATGTCAGCGGAAAAAGGAAGATAAAACGGAAGGAAAACGACACCGCTTCCCTCACGAAAGCGAAGTTAAAACAAACAAGAACCACTGGCTGCAGCAATGGGACTCCTCACCTTACTGAGGAAATTGAAGCGGAACGATACGGAGCCACGTATTCTTATTCTTGGTTTGGATAATGCCGGAAAGACTTCTATTCTTCGCAAACTATCAGACGAGGATCCAACCACTACCCAAGCTACACAAGGCTTTAATATAAAATCAATAAATTGTGAGGGATTTAAGCTCAATATGTGGGACATTGGTGGCCAAAAGGCGATCCGGGTCTACTGGCCCAACTATTTTGATGAGGTGGATTGCCTAATCTATGTTGTTGACTCGGCAGACAGGCGCCGTTTGGATGAGACTGCCGCAGAGCTTGAAAATCTTCTCCAAGAAGAAAAACTGCGTGAGGTTCCCTTCCTTGTATTCGCCAACAAATGTGATCTGGCAACCGCACTTTCCCCCGAGGACGTCAGTACAGCTCTGAACCTGCAGAGCTTGCGCGATCGTACGTGGTCTATTCAAAAATGCAGTGCCAAAACTGCGGAGGGTCTTCATGAGGGCCTTGAATGGGCAGTGAAGAACCTTAAAAAGTAGTTTTACGAGAGCCATCTAGCTTCCATTGTCGTAATGTAGCGAGAGGTCCCTAAGAAGTCTCTTTTTTCCTTTTCTTCCTGCGGTGACGATTCCCTTTGCCCCTTTTATAAACGCCAATTTGACATTGCTTGAGTTGGAAGATGATGAACATGCTCAATTTTATTTGGTACTTTGTCTTTTTCTTCTCTTTTTTTTTATTTGAGCGGTAAAAACAAAAAAACAAAACAAAAAAAAACAATAATCGTTGTAGATTTTTTCAACCTTTTCCTACAATGTTTCACGCCGGTACAATTTTTCGTGCCGCGCTGGCGTCCCATCGACCCGTTTTGGAGTCATCTGTTTCTACCAGGGCTCTTGTGAGACGTCTCTTGGGTGATAAAGGGGGTCATGTCCCCAATATTGCTGCAGTCGATTCGGTTATAACAAAGACGAAGGGCCAAGGTTTACCTGGACTGGCGTGTATTGTGGGAAGGGCTGCATTTTACGTCCGTTGCAGGAACCCAGAGGCCGCGATTGCCGAGATTGACAAGGTTTTTTCTGAAATCCAGGATGCTGACTTAAAACGTTTCGCACTTGGAATTCGCCTCCGGGCAAGGAATGACCTCTTGGACGTCAAGGAAGCAGCTTTGAAGGTGGATGGAGGGTCAACAGAGTTGGATGTCTCTACGCTTCGCGGCGCTATTCGTGAGGATTATGCAGCTCTAAAGGCAGCTTCCTCTGGATGTTGGCTGGTGGAGATGGCGGCTGCCGAATATGCACTTTATGAAGGAAAAACCGAGGAGGCATATAAGGCTTTGTGTGACGTGGAGGAAAAAATAGAGGGTTACATTGCCTCACTTGGAAGGGCCCGCATTTCTACTGAAGCGGCCTCCGTGGAGAACACGCAATTATCTTCATTGCTGGCCTTTTTGTTAAAACGTGCTGAGGATGCTGAGGGAGTGAATCCATCTGCGTCAAAGATTGTAGAAGATGGCATCAAAAACATTTTGAAAGATGATTCAGTGAAAGAGACTTTGTCAGCATTCAAAAAGGAACTCGGTGTGTCTCTTACGGATGAAGAAGTCGCTGAAGTTGCTTACGTCCTTGATGCAGCACATATCCGTCCTCATTTTCACGACTATTTTCCATTGGAGGGGGAGTATAATGATTGGCATTCTGTAGCAGCGAAAGAAGCCAAGAGGAATATTGCCCAGGCGATTGCCCCGCAGCCTGTTGCCCTTTCCAATGAGATACTTGAGAATGTGAAAAAATCAGTTCCATATAGGCCCTTTTATGCTCCTGAAGATTCGCTTCGAAAGTTTCTTTCTTCTTCCAATCGAAAAAATTATCTTGCTGAGCTCAGGGCAGCATTTGGTTCCAGCCCAGAGAGTGTGCTTGCGAAGAGCGATGAAGCCTATTTTGAGGCTTTGAAGGTCTTGAAGCAGGCTCCACCCTCTGCTGATACGGCCGGTGATCCTTCCTATCCGCAGGCTCAAAATGAGGTCTGTCGAAAATTGGCCCGTCAGTTGTTGTATCGAACAAAGGTAAACGAAGCTGTTGCGCTGACTCAGTTAGACCGCCTTAATGAAGCAATAGAACTTTTGAATGGGGTCATTGCCGCAAATGAATTTGTTTACATGTGGCGTGCATTTCTTGCGAGAGCTGAGGCAAACAAGAGATTGGGTCTTATCAGCAAATCTGATAAGGATTTTCGTCAGTTATCTCAGCAGAAGAAAAGTTCCCGCTAGAAAGTGTAGTTAGTTATGCATAGGATTTTACTTGAAGAGGGGGAAAATCAACGGAATACGAAAATGACAATATTACTACTGGTATTTGCTTTACTGGGAATGCGAGGGGCGACATGTTTTTTTTTTCTTTAACCGTCAGAGTGGGGGGGGAAAAGGGTAAGCTTCCTTGCCATTA